GGAGAAAAAATATTTTGGATTTCTCTCTATTTCACTGATGGCCTTTTGCTCTCTTTGCCTCTCCTGGGTTTTGTATGATTCTTGTAGCTTGCGTTCAATTGTTTCTATTTCTCTACCTAACCTCCTTCGCCGTTCTTGAGATAGGGTGCGACTCTCAAGTTGTTCCGCGATTCGTTTTCTTCGCCTATATAGGGAACGACGTTCCCGTTCCAATCTGCATCTCTTTCTCTCTTTTTCTTAGGGGTATGCGGTTTGAACATATTTCTAGTGCTACCGAGCTTATTTTTTCCAGGCACTGATTCAGGTTTGCATTTTCTAGCTGTTCTTCCCAGTTTATTTCTGTGAAGTCCTGGTTTATTTGCTCCCAGTTTATCTGTTTATTATTAAGTTGAATTTGCTGAAATCTCCTCCACCAGGAATCTGGACTGGTTTTGAAGGTCTACTCCCCATGGTTGTCATAACTTCAATTAAGTTGTGATCTGAGTAACAGGTATTTGTAATCATTATGTTCCTGATCAATTCATCATTATTAGTGAAAATGAGGTCCAGCGTGTTCTCCTTCCTAGTTGGTTCTACTATTTGCTGGTTTAATGCAAACCTGTCGCACATCCGTAGCAGGTCATTTGCATGTGCCTTTTTCATTTAGGCTACTTCCTGGTATTCTTTCTGATATTACTGTATTAGCCAGGTGGGAACCCGCCTAACCCACCATCCCTGACCTAACCCGCCATCCCTGACCTAACCCGCTATCCCTGACCTAACCCGCCATCCCTGACCTAACCCGCCATCCCTGACCTAACCCGCCATCCCTGACCTAACCCGCCATCCCTGACCTAACCCGCCATCCCTGACCTAACCCGCCATCCCTGACCTAACCCGCCATCCCTGACCTAACCCACCGTTCTAACCATACCCACCATCCCTGACCTAACTTACCATTCAAATCTAGCCCATCATTCCTGAGCTAATGCAAATTAAAATAAAATTTGGTTAATACTGTACATATAAATCAATTAAATTTGAGGGTCCTGGTAATAGTTGACTCGCAATTAAAAAATCCAGGTTTGAATCCCATGAAGGACAGATATGGTTGGGTGTATTTCCTATCACCTAATGCCCCTATCCACCTATCAGTAAATAGGTACCAAGGAGTTAGTCAGCCTAAGTGTGGTGACCCTTCCATCATGGGAAGGGTCATTAATTCCACCCTTGGGAGGAACCTCGATATAAGCCTACTACATATTGTACTTATAACTTGGCTGCATGTCCCCCGACACATTAAATTATTTAGTGTGCAAGCAACCTGTCCTCTTACAAATTATGTCTGAATTTGGCCGTTTGTCCTTATGGCCGAAAATGAACGTAATTTGAAAATGAAAAATAATCTATATAAATAAAAATGGAAATGTTCGTTTGTTCAAAATCGCTAATCTCCAAAAGTACTTCGCCGATTGCTTTGAAATTTTCACACAAAGTTCCATTTGCATCCGAGCAGGTTTTTATATACATACTATATAGATGTCACGTCTGTGACGGTAAAAAAAACATGTTTTTTTTCTGAATACTATGTTTTTCATGTATTTTTTATGAGGGAAATTTTCAAAACCTCTTTACAAATTGCTTTGAAATTTTGACACAACGTTGCATTTGAATAGGCGCGTCTTTTTATATATGTATTATATACATGCCTCACCTGTGACAGGTAACAACATGCATTTTTGAAAAACAGCGCCATCTGTTGGACATAATGGCAACATGCACGCTATGCTAAATATGTCACGAATTCCAATTCAATGTTTCCGATTGCATTGATTAATGTTATTTTCATAGATTTTGATTTATTTTATTTTTTAGTTAATTATTTTGTGTGACATTGTGTTGGAATTGGGCTGTGTTGTTTACCATACTGTTCATTTCGTAAGTATAAGTACAGTATAGATGCCACACATTTGACAGATAAAAATATGCTTTTCTGGAAAAACAGCGCTATCTGTTGCATGTAAGAGCACCACACATGATATTCTAGATAGGTTACAGTTCCATTTCAATGTTTCTGATTGCATCGATTAATTGAATTTTCCTAGATTTTAATTAATTTCATTTTGATTTCATTATTTTGTGTTATTTGCGTTGAAATTGAGCTGTGTTGTTTACAAGACCGTTCATTTTGTGAGAAGTTTATTTTTATATTTTTTCATATTATCATTTCTTTTTTTAAAATTTTCTTATATTTCAGTGATGGGAACATCAGATCACTTGATGTTCCCAATTTTCTGATGTGAACATCAGACCATTTGGGAAGGCATCGGACGAGGGAGTGGGGAATGGTGGGGATGACGAGGGGACGGAAGTGAGAGATGATGCGGAGGACGAGGGGACGGGAGAGTTTGGGATGGTGGGGACGAGAGGATAGGGAAATAGAGAATGGTGGGGAGAACAAAGGGACAAGGGAGTGGGGCTTGCTGGGAAGGAAGAGAGGATGTTGAAGTAGGGAATGGTGGGAAGGACGAGGGGACGGTGGAGTGGGGAATGGTTGGGAGGCCGACGAGACGGGTGACGAGGGAAATGGTGAGGAGGACTGAAGGACAAAGAAGGTTGCTTCTTTGTCCTCCAGTCAACACATGTGCTGTAGCTCAGCAATGCACATGTGTTGCTGAGCCACAGCAATGCGTGGCCGGGTACTGCTAGTCTATATAAATAAAAGTAGAAATGTTCGTTTGTTCAAAATCGCTAATCTCTGAAAGTTCTTCGCTGATTGCTTTGAAATTTTTACACAACGTTCCATTCGCATCCGAGCAGGTTTATATATACATACTATATAGATGTCCCATCTGTGACGGTAAAAAAACATGCTTTTTCTGAAAAACTGTTTTTATCATGTGTTTTACATGTGAGGGAAATCTTCGAAACCTCTTTACCAATTGCTTTGAAATTTTGACACAACGTTGCATTCGAATAGGTGCGTCTTTTTATATACCTACTATATAGATGCCACCCTGTGACAGGTAAAAACATGCGTTTTTGAAAAACAGCGCCATCAGCGCCATCTGTTGCATGCAATGGCAACATGCACGCTATACTAAATATGTAACAAATTCTATTTCAATGTTTCCAATTGCATTGATAAATTTTATTTTCATAGATTTCGATTTTTTTAGTTTTTATTGAATTATTTTGTGTGACATTGTGTTGGAATTGAGCTGTGTTGTTTACCATACCGTTCATTTCGTAAGTATAAGCATAGATGCCACAAATGTGACCGGTAAAACTATGCTTTCCTAGAAAAAAGCACCATCTGTTGCATGTAAGAGCAACACACATGCTATACTAGATACTGTATGTTACAATTCCATTTCAATGTTTCTGATTGCATTGATAAATTGAATTTTCATAGATTTTGATATATTTTCATTTTGATTTAATTATTTTGTGTGAATTGCGTTGGAACCGAGCTGTGTTGTTTACCAGACTTTATATTGTGATATTTTTTTTATATTTTATATATATATTTATATAAAATATATATAAAATATATATTTATATTTATATAAATATATATATAAATATATATATTTATATTTTTTCCTATTTTCATTTCATTTTTTAACTGTTTTTCTTATATTTCAGGATGGGAACATCAGATCACTTGATGTTCCCAATTTTCTGATGGGAACATCACACCATTTGGGAAGGCATCAGACGAGGGAGTGGGAAATGGTGGGGATGATGAGGGGGACAGAGAAGTTTGGGATGGTGGGGACGAGGGGATGGGGGAATGGAGAATGGTGGGGAGGACAAAGGGACAGGGGAGTGGGGCATGGTGGGAAGGAAGAGGGGATGGTGGAGTGGGGAATGGTGGGGAGGAAGACGGGACAGTGAAGTGGGGAATGGTTGGGAGGCCGAGGAGACGGATGAGGGGGGAATGGTGGAGAGGACTGGGGGACAGGGAAGGTAGCTGTGGCTCAGTAACGCGTGGCCGGGTACTGCTAGTTGAAAACAAATTTTGAATTTTTTTTTCCAAAACAGCAGGTTAAGGGTCCTCTGGTAGATTAGGAGGGCAAGAAGTTCTCCCAAGGTTTCAAAACATCATGAAAACTGTTGATTGAAAGTTTCCTCCCCTAACCCAGCCTGTCCTCCAAAGACCCAAAAGTGATTCCATACACCCGCCAAACCCTGTGTTTATCAATGAAAAGCGGTTAACACACAACTCAACTTTTGACGTTCGAACAGTTCCGGAATAAGTGCTTCACAGGATGCGTGATTCTGTGGTACCGGGTTTAATCCCGGGTGCCGGCGAGAAACAATGGGCAGTTTCTTTCACCCCTGATGCACCTGTTACCTAGCAGTAAATAGGTACCTGGGAGTTAGTCAGCTGTCACGGGCTACTTCCTGGGGGTGGAGGCATGGTTAAGGACCGGGCCGCAGGGACACTAAGCCTCCAAATCATCTCAAGATAACCTTCACTGACAAATTCTGTTCACACCACAACGCTATAAATGCTTCACCCACGTACTACAAATACAAATAATCGCCAACAGAACCTAAACACCTAACCTAACCTATATATGCACAATATGCTAATGTAATATTAATTTATATTTGAAAAAATTCCAGTTTTGAGTGATAAGCATGTAAAAGTTTATGAATGCGTCTGTGGGATCGACCGCTAAATGTAATGTACTTGAGTCGAGGATGGGTTGCCTAACCTAACCGAGTAAGCTGGAGGATTCAACAGAAAACGGGACAGTAGATCACTTTCGTGAGCAGATTTAATTTCAAATTACATCCATTTTTGCCCATAGCGCGCATACGAGCAAAAAGCGACGTAATTTTAAGAGGACAGGTTGGTGCATGATGTGTGATGTTACATAATTAATTCTGCAAGTTTTGTTCTACTTGTGCTATGAGCAGAGGTGGAGCCATACGCCCATACTGCGCTGTTTCCTTCGCCTGTTAACACAGTCTTCAGTAACCGATAACAGAAATGAATTTCCACATACCTCAAATGTAAATCTTTTCACAATAAATCACGTTACTAGCCTCCTTTACAGTACGTGCAGTTTGCGTGAAGGTTCCCTCATCCTAGTGACTGCAAGCATGGTTTAACCAGCAGTGCGAGGTACCGTGCCCAGCTGGGGACTGGGTCAAATCGTCTACTACCGTTTCGGATACCGTCGGTTGAATACATTAAAAATCAGTTCGTTCACAAACAAGTTTACATACACGAACCCTTTAATAAAAAAAAAATGTTTATTCAGGTAAGGTACATACATACAAGATATTTTACATAAATTGATCGATTTGTAGATGGAGCTAGTACATACAATGCCTAAAGCCACTATTACGCAAAGCGTTTCGGGTAGGAAACGTATATACATATGCGCTGGCTTGTATTTACTGCTGTTCTCGTCTTCAAAAACACTATTTTGACTAAAACGAAACAATAGAAGTTGCTGGTAAGTTAAGAATATGACTAAATACATAGAACATGATCATATTCTTAGTGCCTCCGTTAATAGTGTTTTGCGCACTGTTTGCCCTACTGTATTTGTTAACAGAGATCGGTCCATCTAATTACCGCAAGCTACCACAAGCTACACAAGTTTCACAAAGCGTCCTTGCAATACGTTAGTAATGAATAAATATGATATATTTACTCATTATAATGTTGGTGGTGAATGTACAAAATGAAAAAACATAATTTTAATCTGAAAAAGCATCTTTTTATAAAGAAATTAGACGAAAATAAAGAGCTGGTGACGCCAAATCAAGTCGACGATCCAATTGTCGGTTAGGTTAGGTTAGGTTAGGTTAGGTTAGGTTTGGTTTGGTTTGGTTTGGTTTGGTTAAGTTAGGTTAGGTTAGGTTAGCCTAACATATCATATTTATTCATTACTAACATATTGCCATGAAGCTTTGTGTAGCTTGCGGTAATTAGACGGACCTGTCAAATTGTGCTCTAAAGTTGCAGTGGTTAGCCAAGGCCTTCAATTCCGCATATAGCGCCTCCCATGCCCTAGCTTGCGCCACACCCATAGCTCTACTGTTCAACAAAACTATAGTGTGTCACACCTTCCCTGATATCCTTAAAAAAACAAGAGTTATGCCAGTCCATAAAGGAGGCAATCCGGCGGACATAAACAATTACAGACCAATATCAAATCTACCTATTCTATCAAAAATATTTGAAAAAATTATCTTCAAACAGCTCTATTCCTACCTCGTATAATTCGACATACTCAGCCCCTGCCAGTTTGGCTTCCGGTCCCAAAAGAGCACCAATGATGCAATCATTATAGTCTCCTTGACGTAATCTACTCGTCAGCCCTTGACAAAAATAAGTTTTCGATTGGACTCTTCATTGACCTAAGAAAAGCCTTTGATACTGTTAATCACAACTACCTTTTACTTAAACTCCAGTATTATGGAATCCGAGGCCTTGCCCTGGACTATATCCGATCCTATCTTAGTGACAGACACCAATGTGTAACCATCAGTGATACAACTTCTTTCACTACCAATAACCGTTGGAGTGCCACAGGACAGCATCTTAGGACCTCTTCTATTTCTTATATATATATCAATGATCTGCCTAATGTCTCTAATATTCTTAAACCTATATTGTTTGCGGATGATACTACCCTCATCTATTCAGACCCCAACCCACATACACTAAATAATGTTGTGAATAATGAATTAAAAAAAGTCCACTTATGGATGTCAACCAACAAACTAACACTAAACATAAAAAAGACCTACTACATCTTATTTGGAAGCAAATCATCGAATGCAATTCAGCTACAGATAGACAACATCAGTAATAAAAATGATGGAAAGTTTCTTGGCCTATTCCTAGACAAGAGACTCAACTTCAGCACCCACATTCAACACAACTAAGAAAGTCTCTAAAACAGTTGGTATACTCTCCAAAATAAGATATTATGTTCTTAACTCGATTGATTGATTGATAAAGATTAAGCCACCCAAGCGGTGGCACGGGGATAAATAGCCCGTAAGTGGTACAATTTTATTATATTTTTTTTTTCAGTAATTCTCTTCAGTATTCTGATGAGGTTGTATTTAATCGTCAAGCTGTTATCGCGGGGGAGGATACTGCTTGACAGTTTTTATGAGGGTGGACACCTTTGTTGACCAGGAGAGTGGCTGTGCTAAACTAACTAACTGTGTTGATGGCTTCAGGGTGGTCATGACAAAGTCGTCCGCGTAGTTTAGCAGCCCGCAGTGATGTGGAAGTTTCAACCTCATTATTCTTTCCATTAAACAGTTGAAGAGAAGGGGGCTGAGAATACCTCCTTGCGGTGTACCATTTTCATGTCTTTTGTTCACAGAGACTGTGCCATGAAGTTTTACTCTTGCTTCTCTGTTTATGAGACAGTTTTTGGTCCAGGAGAGCAGGTTGCCTCTGACCTCTTTGTCAATGAGACAGCAGAGAATAGCTGGGGCGCTAGCCAGTTCAAAGGCTTTTTCAAGGTCCAGGAATATCAGCATTCCTGGTCTGTCATTCAAGTGGGCTAACAGAGTTGTAATACATTCCACTGTGCCAACCTCTCTTCTATAGGCATACATATCATGGTGCAGTTTAGGCATTTTCCACTCCAGTCTGTTGAGTGCCATTCTGTCAGCCGTCTTGGCTGCACAGCTTTGGATAGAGATGGGCCTGGGATTAGCTGGATCTTTGGGTTTTGGGATCGGCACCATGTCTGCTCTATTCCAAGCAGAGGGTCTAGTTTGAGAAGTCCAGGCTAAATTAATTAACCTTAGGTATGCAGCGTCTCCCTCTGGGCCGAGGTTTCTAATCATTTTATAGGTTATTTTGTCGGCTCCAAGGGATGTATCCTTGGAGTTTTTCTTAGCCTGATTGAGCTCATCCAGTGTGAAGGGGGCATTAGTGTCAGAGACTTCTTCACATGCTGTAAGGATTCTGTGCCACCTTTCTTCCTCTAATCCTGTCTGTACTGCTGATACATCTGATGGAAGTTGATTGCTGGCTGCTCTCTCTGCAAACCTGGTTGCCAGTACTTCGGCTTCCTGTTGAGGATCTTTGGGGTGTGGGGCTTTAGGTGTTTTATTCCCTTTGGCTCGGTGAATTTGCTGCCACATCTCTCCGAGAGAGGTGTGATCATTCAGGTGTGAACACCATTCCAGCCACTTTTGTTCTTTTATTAATCTGGTCTCTCGATGCACATGTTCCTTGACTTCACAAAGTATGGTCCTGTTGCGATCACTTGGCTGCTTTTTGTATAGCTTTCTTGTTCTGTTGAGTCTATGGTTGAGTTCTTTGACACGTTCGCAATAGTACCAATGATCTTTATGGTGTCCTGTGGTCTGTTTTTTCAGTGGGATTGAGTGGTTGGCTGCACTTTGAATCGCTTTGATAAATTCTTGTTCTGCCTGATTAATGTCTTCGGGAAGATCATAGTTTCTATGCCACTCTGAAATGAGGTTTTGAAATCGGTCCCAGTTTGCTAAAGCAAAGTTCCAGGCTTCAGATGGAGGCGAAGGTGGGGTGGGTAGGTCTAACTTAAGATCAATTTGGACTCCATAGTGGTCGCTTGTGAGTGTGGGCTCAACTGACCATGTTGCTGCATCTCTTAGGGAGGCTGAAACGAAGGTTAGGTCTAATCTGCCTCCTTGGATGTGGGTAGGTTCATTCTTGTTTAGGATTAGGATTTCTGGAAGCTGGTCTAGTAGATGTGCAATGTGAATGCCGGCTTCATTTGTTGTGTTCGAGCCCAGTGCCAATCGATGATGGGCATTAAAATCTCCACAAATGATTGTGTTTGTTGTTGTCGCGTGTCCAAATAACACAGAGAGATCCATTTCGGCATGTGGAGACCTGTACACATTAAACACTTCAAGTTTGTCGTGTCTTAGCTCAATGGTTACTCCCATTACCTCTGTCCCTGCTCCACAATCGGGTGGGCTGGTTATGGACTTGGAGATCAGGTCACATTTTACATAGATTGCACATCCCCTGGATTGCCCATTGATCCATGGAAGGAAGAAGCCTCGATAGCCTGAGATTTTAGGTTCTAATCCGGCTCGAAGCAAGCTCTCCTGTAGTATCAGGATGTCTATGCCCTTGGTTGCTGCTATGCATTGCAAGTATTGCAATTTAGTGCGCAGTCCTTGCGCATTCCATTGCAGGATCTTTAGACCTCTAGGTTCTTGGAATTTGTTGATAATTCCGTGGTATCCATGGAGTCTGATGAATACGCCATGGAAGTTGCAATTGGTGTATAGGTTCTTAGTGGACCTGATATTGACTCATCAATGTCGCTTTCCGACGAGCTGGACTCTTATCTGTTTTTACGGAGGTGTCTCCTGCCCTGCTGTCTTGAAGGTGAGGATATTACATTTTCGAATTTCTTGAGCTTGTGCTCAATTGTCTTCCGAGTCTCTGTGGTTTGCTTGATACTATGTGATGACAGCAGACTTTCGATCAATTCGGTGACCAAAGTTTTGAGCATTGGCCAGAGAGCGTCCAGTTCTGTGGGAGCACTATTTAATGCTGTGCAGATTTGGGGCCTGGTAGCTTTTTGACCCTTCTCAGTGGTAACTTTGACGCTGGAATTGTTACTCTTATTAACTAACACTTAACATAGAAAAGACCTACTACATCCTATTTGGAAGCAAATCTACAAATGCAATTCAGCTTCAGATTGACAATGTAAACATTAGCAATAAAAATGATGGAAAGTTTCTTGGCATATTCCTAGACAAGAGACTCAACTTCAGTACCCACATACAACACATAACTAAGAAAGTCTCTAAAACAGTTGGCATACTCTCCAAAATCAGATATTATGTTCCTAACTCTGCTCTCATCTCTCTATATTATGCACTAATCTATCCCTATCTCAACTATGGTATCTGTGCATGGGGTTCAACCACTGCAAACCACCTCAAGTCCATCATCACCCAGCAAAAATCTGCTATCAGAATAATATCAAATTCTGCTTTCAGACAACACACAGCCCCCTTGTTTAACTCCCTAAACATGCTAAACATAATCTCACTCCACAAATTCTCTTGTGTCAACTACATTTACAAAACCCTGTTCTTAAATGCAAATCCTTGTCTGAAACTCTTCCTGGACAGATGTAATAGGACCCATTATCACCACACCAGAAATAAATAT